GGACTATTGTAACACGGCCCGCCTATTTTTTATGAGGAGCCACTTGTGGCGTCGATGGAGGACGAGTACCATGTGGTTGTAGAACCATCTATGAGGCCAGAGGTTGTGCCTGGAATGGATGTTTTTAGTGAATTGGAAGATGAATTTTCATGGTCTTTTATTCAACAAGCATATGTGTCTGATAACTCGCATAGTGTGCCCAAAAAGGACAAAGTGGAGAGTTGCTGCCATAGATTTTCTACTTGTGAGTATACCATGTTTATGGCCCATCAAATTGGCCCGGTCAGGATTATGGAGCAGTTGAAGACGATATAGCTTTGGATTCGAGGGCGAATCCTTTTCGACAGGGGGAGAATGATGGAGATAAGGATGTTTATTATTTGTTTCCCTCTTTATTATTATTATTATTATTATTATTATTATTATTATTATTATTATTATTATTATTAGTGGTATTATAGATTTGGTAGGAAACTTATTTATTTATATATTTTGTTAGGATTCTTGTCTTGTTGGACAAGTTAGTATTAGGGTTTAGGAGCCTTATTTAAAGGACTCGTCATCTATTGTTTTATTCAGTTGAATATGAAATAAGAATTGATATTGTAAGTTTTTACGTGTTTTACGAAAGAGTATCTCGTTTACTCGTTTATCTATCCTACTCGTACGCTTTCCCTACATCAGGCACCCAATACCTGGGGGCTCGCAATGGAGCTCATTTCATAAATGACATGCCCTCTAACATTCTGAAGTGGAAATCTCGCTACTTTTGTGTTTGACCTTCCTATCCCCTGCCTTGTATGTGTTCTACATGTGTTGTGTGTGTGTGTGGTGAGTGGGTGGTGATGTGGCATGGAACCCATTGGAATGTGGGTTTTTTGGATGCGTAATGATAATGTCTAAATTATCCTTAATGAGTATCGAAATTTGACTTTTTTTAGCCGTTGGATTATCCGATCTGATGGCTAAGATTTATTCTTTTTTTTTTTCATTGAGCACCATTCTCACCGGAGCGCAACCATAAATTTATCTTACAATGTTTTTAAATTTGTTGTCTGTTACCTTATTGTTCAAATTTATCTACTAATCTCTAGAATTTAAAAAAAAAAAATTGAATTTTATTAACCAAAATTTGTTCAAATAACTTTCTGTTTTTCAAGGGGAAAACATACTGATTTGGTGAATTATCATCAACAACTTATGGCAAATTATTATGTGTATACGCAAAAATTTGAGAACCATATCACCTTGACTTAGATTAGATCCCCTGCGGTGCACGAACGGACTTGTTACTTACAACCTTTTTTAGAACTTTATAAATATAGTTAATTATATTTAACATCTCATGATTGCAAGCAAAGAAATACAAAATATAAAAAATTATATTTTATTTATTTAAATATAATGAGTGTCTCCAACCAAACCAATAACATGCAGTACATGTTAAATGATAAACTTAATTATATGAATCGGCATATTTTTTAAATATATATATATATATTTAAAAAATATTAGGTATTTAAAAATTCGCATTAAAATTTGAAAGTTGGATATGAGATTAAAAAAAAAGGATGTGTACAAAAAAATAGGTACCAAGAATTCATATAATATGATATTCTTTATAAATTTGAAAATATTTTGTTGTTAGATAAATATAGACAAAAAAAATCATCAATTAAGTTGAACAATACGAAATATAAAAATTAATTTCCAAAATTATCATTCTTTATTAAATAAATCAGAATTTTAGTTGTAGACCATAAAATATGAGATTTGTAGATAGATAAATATGGATAAAAAATATTTAACAATTAAGTTGGCATGACTTTTCGAAAAGATTTAAAAAAATTACAAATGTTTTATTCGTTAAATGATTGACCGTATTTTTGTATCTAAATTTACACATTTGACCAAAAAAATTAAGAAAATGATTGATCGGATTTTTTGAAAGCATGATTTTCAAGATTCTTTCTTGCTATTGGCCAGATTTACGCGTAGTATTTAAAAAAATTATTGCGCATATTTTAAGCAATTAAGGTTTAAACAATATCTTTCTCAAATAATTTTTTTTTTTAAAAAAAAATTAGCTGTCATTTTCCAAAAAAAAAAAATTACTACGAATAGTAATTTTATAATTTTAAGCGGAAATTTTAATATTATTTAAAGTAAATCACTTTCTCTTTATAAAGTAATAAATTTTATAACAAGCCAACCTAAAATTCGACTTTCATACCCATCTATATATATATATATATATTAAAAACCAACATATTTATCAAAAACAATAGCAAGAAAAGTCAACACACATTTAATGCATACTTTATTTGGAAATTATTTACTATATGCATTAAATGCTTGCATATTTACATTTACTATCCAAATATGGTCTTAAAGATTTTTTCCTTAAATAATTTATGCAATGATTTTACTGATATCCATTATAATTAATATTTGTCGAGTAATATTTTTTAACCTTTATTTAATTACTAGTACAACACCCGTGTATTACACGGGTGTTTGCTAATTTTTTTATTAAAATCTAAAATTAATGAGAAAAAAGTAGTTGGAATTTTAAATACCTTTTACAAAAATATATATATATATATATATTATTATATATTTAGTATGACACTTTTTATTTGTCCGACTTATCTGTGTCATATTACAATAATTTTTTTACTTACAACATATTACTACATTAAAAATAAATATACTCCCTCCTATTTTTTTTTTAAATGTCATTCTAGCTTTATTAAATGTCGTTTTGGATCTTTTGTACATATTTTTCCATTATTACCTTCATTTAGCTAATAAATATATTACGTCTTTTCATATTCACTCTTCACTTTTTCTCAAAACATTTATCTCCATCTTCATTAAATAAGGTTATTATTGACAAAAAAATATTCTTATATAATGTGCAACTTCTTAAAACGACATCTATTAAAAATAGGAGGTAGTATCAGTTGATAAATAATTTTATTTTTCTATTGAATTTTAATAAATATTATTATTCTTTATTATTATAAAGATAAATATAATTTATTTATTTCATATATACAATATGGATGTCAAATCGAAGATCATCAAAAGATGATTAATTTGATATATAATATATGTAAAATCGATAAGAAATACAAAAGTTATCAACTTTTAAAATACATTTACAATTTAATAGCTAATTGAAGGAAACAAATCAAAGTCAGGATATATTAGTCACTTAGTGCCTCACTATATAAAATTACAAATAATTAAATGGTTATATTAGTACAAGTGATATTAAAATACCTAAGTTAGATAAATAATAATTATGGAATGTCCAAACCTAGATTATTAATTATTAATATATCAATATTATTTGTCCAAACCTAATTACGAAGCATGATTCTTCGCCAAGTAGGATTACGAAGCACCAGAATGAGCCACGTAAGCTCAGCGCATTCGGGATTATATATAGGGAGGATAAAACACTAATATTTTTTTAAAAAAATTAATATTATTTTTTTTAAATGATAATGATCACATCATTAAATGATTTTATTGATGGTTAGATAATAAAATTATATTAGTTATTCTTTAAAATTTCGACATGTTATTTATTTGTATATTATTGTCAACTATGATAGTATTTTTATCACTTTTTTTGTTATGTTTCAAAAATGAACTTACTGTAAAATATTTTTCTATTGCATAGTATGTTAAATAAATTGTAAAGCCTTAGGATGAAAATTAGAAAAAATCTCTTGATTATGTAAGGGATTTATTTTTTGGCAATTGTTAAATCATTTTTTTTTTAAAAAAATAAGAATTATTATGAGAAAATTAAATTCTAAAAAACATGTGTGTATTTTTTAAACATTTATACTCAAAATTTTATTTTGAATTTCATTACATAAAGAAGACTACTTTTATAACTTTTATAAATAATAATAATTCCATTATATGACTGTAAATTTTATAATAAAATAATTGAGTATTACATGGTGAACAATAATTAATAAATTTTTTTTCTTATATCAATGAATAAATATGTATTCCAAAATCAAATAAATATTAGTATGACGTGTTAGCGGAATTATATATTAATTAACATGTTAATTTTTTGGCTTAAATAAACGCCACTTATTAAAAAATGTGAAATATGAATGATCCAAGCCTATTGTTTTTTTGTCTAGACGTACAAGTCCTATAGAAATAACTGATTTATTATATGTATCACGTGCTCGCACGGGGTATGCACTAGTACAAAATAAAATTCATACTACTTTGTTTTCAGAATTTTCAAATACACTTATATTCATACCAAACAGAAATTCATATCATTTAGATTTGAATATCTATTAATAACAACATATTTTTCTAATAAAATAAAAATGATCACTACATATACCTAAAATAAAAGCGTCCACACCAAAATCAGGTTTATTAATTTTGCCAATTTTATACCTTAAATTGATTAATTAATTTATAGAGGCGCGGTTTTCTTTTATTTTAAATTTTTCAAAAAGATTACCAAGTTTAGTAATTAAAAAATCTAACTTTGTATATTTTAATTTTTCCAACAACCAAGATTATTGAGTTAAAACGAATATTTTTTTAGATATGATTGTAAAGTACAAGATCATCATCAAATGACACTTAAAAATTCAACTGCATTTATTACTAACAATCAAGTTGAAATTACCCGTCTTTGAAACTAATACATCATTAAGAAAAATAAATTATTTTGACTAGAAAAAAAAAATATGTATATATGATATTTGAATAGAAAAAGGGTCTACCTAAGAGAGGTCCTGAAATCAAGCCATGAAATAATATCATTAAGAACCTCCAAAATTCTATCATCAGGCTCACCTTCCAGAATACAATGAAAACCCCCTTCATAAAGCTTCAAGGTTTTATCCTTGCTGCAAGCATTCTCATACAAAAACCGGCTCACACGAGGATCGGTTACCTTATCGGATGCCCCATGAAGTATCAGCATTGGCGATGAAATCTGTCGAACATAACATTAATCTCACAAATTTTCTTATTTACTATAATTTTCCAATAAATTATACAATTTACCAACCTTTTCGACCTGCGATTCAATATATTTTGTAGCGTTGAGGAGCTCGACTGCAGTCCTCAGTCGAGTTTGGTCCGAATAACTGATCACATTGTATGGAGCCTTGGAAATAATAGTGGATGCCGATTAGTTCCATCACAGTTGAATTACAAAGGACTAAATGCAAGAATGAAAAGCAACTAGAAGAAAACCAGAAATTTGCAAGTATTGGCAAAAAAACAAAGTTGAAAGTTCATCAAATTATGAGAGGTATCCTATATATCTTGCGTTTCATTTTCATTTCCGAACACAACACTAAATGTTTTTTAGATTACACAAAGATGCACAGAATTAATGCAGAATGTGAATGCCAAAGGACTGAATGTGAATGTATATATAAGCAAAAGGACTGAATACAAATTTAAAAGGAATGGACAAAATACCATTTGCTTCTTGTTCAGCTCTCTGAATGCCAAATCGGCCAAGTCCTTCTGAGGGACGAGCTTTGCTTGTGGCAAAATGTTGGATAGCAAGATTAGTATTTTCTGAAGTGGTACAGGTGGCGCCATTTCATCTGATATCTGAGTATCCGAAAAGATAAAATATCTGAAAAAAACAAAAATAAAAAATCTTTGGATATTAGAAAAAAAGGAGCTATTTTTGTATTACTTTGCACATAGGAGCCACAAGCACTATGCCATCCCATTCATTCGGCGCCTTCAAAAGCGCTTTTAAAGAAATTGCTCCACCCATCGACTGCCCGAATAAAAAACGGGGCAGCCCCCGAATCTCGGGCCTCCCTGTGTTTAACAAAAACAAAGTGTTCGCTAGCCTTCATCGAAACTAAAGAAGAAAAATATTTTAGCTTTCTATAGAGTTCTATTGCAGCAATCAAATATTTTACCTTTCATTATGGTGAACTGCTCAATTACATTATCAACTATGGCATCAAATGAGGGTACATAGCCATGCAATCCTTCTGAAAGACCAAAGCCCGGGTGGTCGATTGCATAAACTCCATAGCCAGAGGCAGCAATGTACTTGGCAATGCCTGAATAAATTCACAACATTAAGAAACAAATAAATGAAATTAAAGCAAACTTTTAAGAGAATACTTAGATTTCTGTTGAATGCTCCAATGGTTTCACTTGATATGGAAAAAAAAAAAGGCACACCTTCAAAGAAAAATGTGCAAGTGTCACCATATCCGTGGCAAAAGCACAAAGCGCCTTTGATTCGTACACCGGGCTTCGGCAACCAGCTCTTGCAGAAAATCTCTAGTCCATCAGAATTTATTTCATACCACTACAAAAAAATTAGGAAGAAAAAAGGGCACCCAAATAATCAAATATTGGATAAGGAATGTCCAGTTCCCATGAGGCAAGCAAATTGTGTCACACCAAAACAACCAAAAATGGGAGAGCATTGCAACTAAAGACAAATAAAAACTATCTTTTTAACACTCCTAATTCAAGTATTCAAGAAATTTAGCTTTAATTTGGCCTTCATTTCAGTTCAGGACTTGCATCAAGAACCATGTCAAGTCAAAAGTATGAATTATATCCATATGAAAAATTAACAACAGATGGATATTTCATATTATAGCATACAAATTACTGAAA